TATCGTTGAAAACGAATCTTTTACTCCATCTCGCCCTTGTCGTCTTTTCTTTTTCCTTTCCCTCCACCTGGGTATTTAATGTAACTTATTAAAGAGAATAAAATTTCACAATTAGTAAGATATTTTTCCAGATTTTGCACCCAAGAAAACATCTGAGAGCTATATAAAAAAAGGAAATTAATAAATGTGTTCCCTTTTTTTCTATTTTTTTTCCCAACTTGTATACTACTACTACTCCAGCTCTCTCTGTTTAAGTGTTTAGTCTTTTTTTAGGAAAGGCTATATATATGCACTTTTGAATAATTTAATTCATGTTGTTAAAATAAAAAAATATTGATTTTTGTTGGATGTCTTTTCTTTCTTTCTTAAATATGAGATAAAATTTTGATGGTGATGCTCAGCATTGTTTAATCTGAAAAGATGATGACTGTAGTAGTCTCTACGGATACAATGGGTTATTAAATCATTGTTTGAAATTTATGTGTACCGGTTACATAAAAATATTTTAATTTCAAACGTTACTTACTTTCCATACTAACTGATAGATTTTAATAACTTTAATTTTAAAAGATCAAATTGTAATCATAAGGTGCTGTGGTGTAGTGGTTATCACGTTTGCCTTACACGCAAAAGGTCTCCAGTTCGATCCTGGGCAGCACCATTTTTTAATGCTTATATCACTTTTGCTTGCTTAACATAAAAAAACATTTGATAACATTCCTTAAAACAATAATTTATGTGAATAATAATGAATTTCTCTCTTTCGTTCTGGGAAATCTTTAGATGAAGTCATACAAATCTTTTAATGAACCTAAACTTGTTCAACATTTGTTTTCTTCTTTCAAAAGTATAGAATATGAGTGCTTTGTTTCAACTTTCAACAGCTGTTAAGACTTGAGAGGGATTTTGTATTTGTAAGATGCAATCACGAAGGTAATGCAGCTAAGTTTTGGCTGTTTTGTTTGTTCTTTTTTACTCGGCTCTGATCTCACTTAAGATATTTGTCTTATTCTTAACAAAGTATGTAATTTGATTTGCTCAAAGAAAAATATACAACACATATTATAGAGCGACTATGACAAATACTATAAAAAAAAGGTAGCCATAATTAACTAAAAGAAGCAAAGAACGGAACACATAAGCTAATGTTGCACTTGGCTAAATTTGTCCCACCATATACGGTAGCTTAAACCACTATTCATACAATCTCGTAAGGCTCGTAATAATGGTTCTCAAGAAATGGATCAACTAGTTCTCTATATTCTTTGTCTTCAGCTTCTCTCAAGCATAATGGTCATGCCTGCCAATAAAGATTAATTAAAAACATGAAACTGTTTGGTTTTGTTACTTTTATGGTGTTTATACTCACCCAATCAATCAAACTATCTTCCATTTCATCACTTAGATCAAACAATTAAATTTCTATTAGATTGCCACTAGTCCCATATATTTCTATTATCCATTGAGATAAGATTTCTCCATGATTACAATAAAATAAAAATCCACACAGCCACAAAGAGAGTTTGGTAATTGAAACAAAGAAACAAAAAGGCACGTTGCAACAAACTCTTTGGATCAATCCATTGAGATAGGGTTGGTCTTGTATGTAGACTCTACAGAGTATGTGATAAAGGTGCCAAACGAAGCTTGTGGTGGCAAATTGTAGAACAACCACTAGTACTTATAAGCAAGTCTAGTTTCATCACCATTTCATCAATACAAGCTTCATTGTAAGTGTGATCAAGCAAGTAATCAATGGAGGGTAAAATAGTGGTTTTAAGTGTGTTTATAATGAGTCTTGTCATGGCACAAATTCAAGTAGAAGCATGGGCATGTTGCCCTACCGATGCTGCTAGAGATATCTTTAGTGAATGTACTTACTCTGGAAAAGTCTGGACATTTTGTGAATCAAAAAGTGGATGCCAACTTAATCGTTATAATGTCTGCCCTCCCGGCTATTATCATGGCATTCTCGAAAAATCTGGTAATTTTTTTTTTATTTTTTTGGTCACGAATTGATTTTTCTTTTGTGTGTGTTTATTATGTAATTTGTTACAAGATCCATCAAGATATTTCATTTTTGATTCAAGAATATATTTACATGTATTTTATATTTGTCTCCAGGTGATGTTGTTAATGAATACTGTAAGTTGGGATGTGCATCATCCATGTGTGGTGCCATGACCACTCTCAAGAACTCTGGTAAAGCAAACTTCCCTAACTCATTGATATTGCTTGGGGAACAATAGACTATTGTTATTGTTTTAATAATCCATTCTAATTACATTACTTGTTTCGGTGTTAGACGCAAGTAAAATTGTGAAAGGAGCGGTTGAAAAATGCGTCAAGGCATGTTCTACTCTCTGCACCAAAGGTTCTATGACTGCATTTCAAACTGCCTAAAACAAGCATATCCTCAGCATCAAAGTTTCCCGAGTGTTGTTTTCCATGTTTTCAATCATTGTCGTGTATGTGAAAAAATGCTAGAAGCTAGTACTAATAGTTGAATACGTTGTGACCGGTTTCTGTTTGTGTCGTAGAAGGTTGTGGATTCATTGATTGTATATGCCTTGTACTTCCTATCATCTAGATAAAGAATAATTTGTTCTCACTATTTTAATTTATATTATACCGGATTTGCTAAAAACTCTTGCTTTGAAGTTAACTATCTTGACAACCTATGTTTGGGAATATCAAATATTTGTGTTTTCCTTAAACAAAGCATTTAATTTGATTTCCTCACAATTGTTAACGAACATTATACAACACAGAGAGATTTTAGCAACAAAAAAAAAAAAAAACACATCATAGAGAGACTTTGACAAATACTAGAAAGGAAAAGTTAACGTCTAAAGGGGTCTTTTAGGTAACGGAAGAAACGCAAACTGCACCATTTGTGCCATCTCGTAAGGCTCGTAATGGTTGTCAAGAAATGGATCAACAAGTTCTCTATATTCTCCGTCTTGAGCTTTTCTCATGCACAAATAATGGTCTTGCCTGTTAATAAAAGATTAATTAAAAACATGAAACTATTTGGTTTTGTTAGTTTTATGGTGTTTATACTCACCCAATCAATCACACTATCTTCCATTTCACCACTTACATCAAACAGTTAAATTATAAATTTCTACTATTCATTGAGATAAGATTTTTCCATGAATACAATAAAATCAAAATCCCCCACAGCCACAAAGATAGTTGGTGAAACAAAAAAACAGAAAAAAGAACGACTTTGTAACAAACTATTTGGATTAATACATTGAGATAGGGTGGGTCAAGCCAGTGTATAGACTATATAGAGTATGTGATAAAGATGTTTGTGGTGGCAAATTGTAAACAACAACTAGTATTTATAAGCAATTATAGTTTCATCGCCATTTCCATCAATACAAGCTTAATTGTAAGTGTTTTTCTCTACATATATATATAGTGTGATCAAACAAGTAAACAATCAAAACATGGAAGGCAAAAGAGTGATTTTAAGTGTGTTCATAATGAGTCTTTTCATGTCCCAAATTCAAGTCGAAGCATGGACTTGTTGCCCAACCGATGCTGCTAGAGATATGTATTTTGAATGCGCTTACTCTGGAAAAGACCCGACAGATTGTGCATTACTCAGTGATTGCCAGCTCGATATTTGGGATGACTGCCCTCCCGGCTATGATCATGGCATTCTTGAAAACTCCGGTAAATTG